AGTTCGCAAGTACGACCCCTCGATATCCCCCAATTACGCCACTAATTATTACTATTTTATCTATTATAACTTGTTGAATTTATAATAGTAATTACATTTTAAATATTTTAACTTTGATTTAATATCAGTATTTTGTTTTTTATACATATTTTAAATTTTGATATGAGTAAAATAATATAGTTTTTTATTTTAATTTGTTATTTCTATCCTTAAGTTGACATATTGTATAGTAAATTAGTTTGTATAATTTGTTTATATATTTAAAAAATGTAATGTTTTTTAAATTAGCATAACATAACATTTATGAGAGGGTTTTTTGTTTGATTAAAATCTTAAATGAAAAATTATATTTTTTAGTTTTTAGAAATCAACAATGTCCAATATTTTTTATTCTTGAACGTATTTGCAATAATTATACATATATTTGTTTTGTATATCAAATTAAAATACATTTGAGTCTTGACAGGGTTGATACACATTTTTTATAATATTCTCAATTTTTTTCGAAATGTCCTCAGTTACACTACTTATTTCATATAGTTTTATTTATTAAGTATTAAATGTAGAAATGAAGATTTATATTTTCATCTCAACTCAAGTTATGTTAACCTATTTCCATTATGTTAAAATGAAACTACTTTGTTTTTAATCCAAATAACTTCGTGATTAACTTTATAAGGTGGAGGACTTGTCTGATTTAATGGAAACTAGGATAGATTAGGATAGACCAAGCCCCTAATTGTATTATTTGTATTTATTTTGAAGCAAAAATGACTAACAGATTGTTGCATAAATAAACCCTATGAAATAATAGAAGTTTGTATTTTAGTGAAGATACTTATGATTAATGAACCTCATTATAATATTGTGAGCCCAAGGGCCTAGAATCAAAATTATGCACACTGCACAGGGCCTCGCAAAACTTCTGGACGACACTGATAATATAAACCACCAACCTATACTTTTATATAAGTACTTAAATAATGGTTTGTTTTACTACAATCTACATTTTTTTTTTTTAATTTGAGAGGTAGTAATATGATTTTATAATATTGATATTTAATTTAGAATAAAAGTACCTTATTATTATTAATAGTTGATGAGGTATATTTTTTTTAAATTGACTTTAAATAGCTTTAAATGAGCTTAAATAGCTTTCAACTCCAGCCAATTTTATAATATACCTACAAAGGAATAATCATTTGCTGAGTGTAAATATATGCATATGCATCACTTAAATATTCTTTATATTTTTCAAAATCATAATTTAAATTATTTTGTGAAAAAAAAGGTGAATAAATCAGTTTCTAATTTTATTGTATTTTTGTATATTTTTTTAATTATAATTCTCACAAAATTAATGCTAGCATTAATTGTTTTTTTTATTAAATTATTTTAGAATCATGAATAACTCCCAAGAAATACGTGAATTTTTGGACTCAAGTTTTCTAAGTCCTCCAACCATTACATATACTAAGGGATATTTAAGAAACAATACTCCAACACCAGATAACACAATGGATGATGCTTCTAATTTTTCTTTCGCTTCAAGTTCTTCATCTTTAATTGATACTACTCCATTGTCAACAAACATCAATATTTCAAGCTCAAAAACTGTAATCAAACGGAAATTGTTAAATGATACTGGGGAGTATATGTTGGTACCACACGGCGGAAAAAATACAATTTGGGAAAAATTTCAAACGGTTATGTTTGTTAAACAAAATATAGAAAATTTGGATTCAACGAATTCTCCTGATGAAGAATTGACTGATTTTGTTGCATGTATCAAATGCAAAAAAACTCTATAGAAAAAGCACAGGAACAGCTACACTGAACAGACACAAATGTACCTATGAACTAAAATCACAAAAAACAATCGAGATGTATACTAAAGTCACAAACAAGAAAAAAAAAATAATACCAACACATTTAAAAAATGAAACAATAGAAAAATGTGTTAAATATTGTTGTTTGGATATTAGACCAATATCTGCTATTAATGGGGAAGGTTTAAAGAGTTTTGGTCAATTTCTATTGAACACTGGTGCAACATTTGGAAGAACTGACATAACTGATATTTTGCCTCATCCAACTACTATATCTAGACATATACAAAAAACTGCTAACGAAATAAGAAATGAGCTTTTTAAATATATATTTGTTTGTATAAAAAAAAAGTTGTGTGCATCGACTTGTGACATGTGGACGGACAACTATAGAAAAAAATAGTTACATGTCAATAACATTGGATTATATTGATAGTAACTGGGAACTTAATAATCGCCTACTCATGACTGGCCAATTTCCTAGTTATGAAACAAAAACTGGTGAAAATATAAAACGATTTATGTCTAATTTTTTTTGTCAAATATCTGAATCAGCTTCTGAGGTAAATAATGATTTGATGTCCTGTGTCACTTTTGTTGCTGACCAAGGTTCAAATATGTTAAGCGCACTTAGAAACTACAATAGATTGAATTGTTGCGCTCACTTACTAAACACGGTTTTGAGAAATTTGTTTGACATCAAATTTTTAGAGCAAGAAGAAGAATTTGGAATTAAACCATTAGAACCCATTTTAACATTAATGGTTGAATGTAAAAACTTGGTTAAATATATGAAAAGCTCTGGAAGAAATTGTGAGCTTAGCAAAGGACTTGTGCAAGAGATTGAGACGAGGTGGAACACTCGACTATTAATGTTTCAGTCAGTACATAGAGCACTTCCAGAAATTATTCAAATTCACGGAGAAGACTTTGGTCATATCAAAAATATTAACACTGATTTACTTAAACAAATTATTCAGTTTTTAGAACCATTCAAGAAAGCCTCTGATGATCTTGAGGGTGACAAATGCTCAACTATCCATAAAGCAATTTTATATCAACAGTTTTTAAAAAAGCATTAAAAAAAGTATGCTGATTTTCACATCAATATATTGTGTAACAGTGGTGAAGAACCTACAACTAACTCCATTTTACAGATATTAGGAAAACAAGGATTAAAACTCATGGATTCTAAATTCCAATTATTTAATGAGCATGAAATTGCTGTATTTTTGTCACCAAAATTTAAATCATTAAAAAATGTTTAGTGAAAATGATAAAGCCCGTGTCCATCAAAATATTGAGGTAAAACTGTTGCAGATTGAATTAGAAGAAAATAGTGACTCAAGTATTCTACAACCAATAGAAAGAGATGTTCCTAAAAAATCTTCCGAGATTACACCGTTCTCAGAGTGGGAGGATGCTGAAAATGATTCCGAAGATTCAGTAAATGTCCCCAAGTATAAAAAAGAACTAGAAGAGTACAAACAAAAATACTTTGAGTTTGATATAAAAGAAGATAATGTTTTAACATTTTGGAAAAAATCAAATATTAAATTTTCCTCTCTTATCCATATTGGCTAAGCAAATATTTGCTATTCCAGCAAGTAGCGCTAGTAGTGAGCGATCATTTAGTACTGCTGGAAGAGTGGTTGAAGAGCGAAGGAGTTGCCTTAGTGGCTCATCTGTGGATGCAATTTTATTTTTAAACAACCATTTCAAAAATTTAGAAAAATAAAGTTTCTAATTTATTATTGTTATCTATTAATTATTTATTATATATATATATATGTTCTAAGTATATACTATGTTTTGGTCACATTTTCTACTATTGAATAAAAATAAATCAATATCAGTTCTGAATAACAATAACTATATAATGTATTATTGGTTTTTATAATTGTTGTCAGGTTTTTATTATTTTTGTCACAACATAACATATTAATTGTTTATTTTTAGAATCAACTATGGAGGCTATTGCCAATTGACTACTTCTATTATTGTATGCATGATCTACTGGGTTGATATGACAACTTAATTATAATGTGCATATAAGTATAACATAATATGTTAATCATATACAATAATAACGTTAACGTATTATGTTAATCAATACTAACATTCGAGTAAAAAATAATGCTCAAATATATTTAAAATAGGTATGTTGGTATGTGGTATAACATTGGGAAATACATTTAGTATAACGTAGTATTACAACAATAAGTAATTAAGTTCCAATTATTATACTGTAGTTGTTTAAGTCATACTCATTTTTTTTCAGTTATAATTTAAATTTATGTCCTTTATAATTAAGTCTAGTCCGATTCGGTCCGATCCAGTCCTGCCTAATACCTTTATAGATTGGTCCGGTCTAGTCTTAAATTAAAAATTTAATTTAAGTCTAGTCTCCGGTCTTCTACTGAGAAATTTTTTTTTCATCGGTCCATTTTGGTCTTTTTTAAAAAATTAAAAATATATCGGTTTAGTCTGGTCCAGTTGCATTGCCATACATATTGGTTCGGTCCGGTCCAAGAAATTACGGACCGTGCAGAGCTCTACTGTAGAGACGCAAGTGAGTCACCTGTGGCTAATAATCTACAAGCAACTTGTAATTTTAAATTTGCTGGGAGAGCATTCCTCATCACTGTATCCTCTTTTTGAATCTTTTTAGAAACCTATGAAAAATAAATAAATATATTCTGACACCAATACTAGGTATTATATTAAAATAATATTGAAAAAAAAATAACTTTTTTAACTTACTTTATTAAGTAATATGTCAAACATTTCTTCGTTCATTCTTAAAAAGTTATAAAAACTTTTGGGGTCCTCAATTGCAAGTTCTTTCACTAATGTATTTGTAACACCCAAGTTATTCCGCCTTTGAATCCATTTTCTGACCCACTCTTTGTTTTTTTTTAATTTACGTTTTTTATGTTTTAATAATATCATTTCTCCGATCACTGTTATCATTGAGCGTACAACTTCTTCGGACATGATTTGTCGAAGAGCAAAATTAAAACAATAAGTGAATCAGTTAATTATAACACTATTAGTCAATTTTAATTAGCTATCGCACGAAACACAATATTTGTTGACAATTATTGTCACCGTGTAAACGCTCATCTTCATGTGACAGTAGCTGTCGCATTACTATACGACAGAGCTGTCATGACTGTACTGTCACCGTGTAAACGCGCCTTTAATAATGAAACAATAGATAAAATAACCGAACGGCAATATTCAGAAGAAGCTACATTCTGGAAAAAAGTGTTACATAGAATTATAAAAATAATTCTACATCTTACTTCTGGTAACACAGCATTGAGAGGTCATGAACAGAAAATTAATAATCCTGAACAATTTGACGGAGAAGGTACAAAATAGATATTAAACTTAAGTAACTTATATAATATTGATATATTTTGATTTATTCAGGTAACTTTATGCGCACAGTGCGATTGTTGGCAGAGTATAACCCCATTATGAACGACCTTTAAAAGATGAACAAAATAAAATAAAATATTTTAGCTGGAAGATTCAAAATGAATTAATTGACCTTCTAGCTACAAGTACTCGAAACTTAATATGTGAAGAAATAAAACATTCGCAATGTTTTTTCTATTATAATGGATTCGACTCAAGATATTACCAAACTATACTATACGTCAGTATAGTTATAAGGTATGTGGTAATAAATCACAATAAATCAAGTACAAGTGTAAAGGAATCGTTTTTGGGATTTTTTTGTTATTGAAAAACACGGAGCACAAGATTATGAAGAATTAATCACAAATATATTAATGAAACTCAATTTAGATATAAATAAATGCAGAGGACAGGGGTATGTTGGGGCTTCTGTCATGAGTGGCGTATACTCCGGAGTCCAAAAAATATTAAAAGACAAAGATCCTACAGCATCTTATGTTCACTGTTGTGCCCATAACTTGAACTTAGTCATATCAGATGCAGCTAAAAGCTGTCAAAAAGTAGTATCATTTTTTGAAACTGTTCAAGCAGTTTTCAATTTTTTGAGTTCCAGTGCTCCTAGGTGGGCTAACTTAGCATTTGGGAATGATGAAAACAGAAAAATTAAACTGAAAGTCTTAAAAAAGGTGTGTCCAACTCGATGGGAATCACGACATGAGTCTATAAATGCATTAAAGTTAAGGTTTATAGATATTTTAAAAGCATTAACTAATATATCATTAACTAGTTCTAAAAAAGATGAAAAAGCTTCTAGTTTGTCTTTGAAAAAAAAACTAGAATCTATAGAATTTGTTCTAATTTTATGTTTTTGGGAAAAGATTTTAAGAGCATTACACCAAATCCCTTCAGAAACAAAATACAAATTTGCACAATGCATGCCAAAACTTAAATGAAGCCCAATCAATTATAGAAAACTTAAGAGATAGCTATGAAAATATACTGTTGGAGTGTAAAGAATTATGCTCCAGATGGGGAATGACTCCTAACTTCCATGTTAAGAGGAGTAGACTTGCTCTACAATATTTTGATGAAATTGATGATGATCGTCGCCTAAATATAACTGATGAAAATTTCAGGGTTAAAATTTTTCTACCTGTGATTGATACAGTTATATTTCAATTAAATTCACGGTTTCAAGGACTACAAGAAGTTACAGAGAATTTTGATTTCTTATTTCCTACAATGTTAACTAAAATGGACGAAAATGATATCTCTAAGGCTTCAATGGACTTTTTTTTATTTATACAATGATGACATTTCTTCAGATTTTACCAGACAATTATTGTGTTTAAGAGGATTATTAAACACTAATATTCAAACGATTATGGTTCTGGCTTTATTTATAGTTAAAATTTATTTTTGTACAACATACTGCGATGTGATAACTGCATGTATAATTTATATTTCATTGCCTGTGACAGTTGCAACGGCAGAAAGGTCATTTTCTAAATTGAAATTAATCAAAAACTATTTGAGGAACAGTATGGGGCAGGATCGACTTTCTAATATTTCCATATAGAAAGAAATGTAACTAATCAAGTTGATTTGGAAAAAATAATTTCTACGTTTGCCGATTTAAAAACAAGAAAAAAAAATGTTCTCAAGTGAAGACAAATTTGAAATACTAACAATATAGTTTTCATTCTTTTACTCTAAATGTATTAAATATTAAAATGTATAGTATATAAATGACTAGTGTAGTCTTAAAAGTTATAATTTTTATTTGTTTTTATAAGTATATTATGATTTATGTTGTTATTTGGTTGGTAAAACTTTTAATAAATCTATGAACTTAAGTTTATAATGTGGTATTGATAATTAATAATTACCACTTCCATTTCAGAAAACTGATTAGAAACAGTTGTTACAACTTACAAGTGTATAAGTATAAGTTATCATTAAATACATTACTTAATTTTTTCCATTTGGCAATTCATCATTTTATCAACCCCCCCAAATTTTGTTCACAATAATAGGCATAAGCAACTTTAATTAGGGACCCTTCATTAAAAGTGACACTGGGGCACCAATTAGCCTAGTTGCGCCTCTGGTGGTATTACATTCCGATGACATAGTGATTGTTTATGTTTTATCAATTCATTTGCTTGTCATTTTATGTTATCATTTTCGTGCGCTGCGTAGCGGTGCGTTACGTATCCGCAGCCCTCGTTGGCGGTGGTAATAAGCCTCCGTGTGCGACCGGCCGGGTACGCAATCGCGCTGTTATCATCGCATGAAAATGTAGTTATTCCACGTTTTCAAATTTTATCAGTTTTATGTTTCGTGTAAGTTTCAAGTCATGCTCTCAGTGCCACAAAGTTCATTAATTTCGAGTGTTTTTCAATTTTGTGTGGTGGTACTGGAGCATTTTATCTTTATTGTGGTGTCCGGTGGCCTTAGCCTTCGTGGTGAATGTCGTCGGCCCCATCTCGCTCTCGTTTCTGTGTCTTTGTGGTGTGCACATCAAATTTCGTTTTCAAGTGTTCGTACGTCCGCAGCCATTTTCATTCAAACCACGTTTTTTGTTGAGTAGTGTCATTTTCGTTTTGTGATTGACGTGGTTTTCGTTCATTGTTCCATTGTCCAGGGCTGTGGACCATTGCAGTATTTTCGTTGGTGACTGTGCTTGAGTGGTCGCACGCAGCGGCGTAGATACAATTTTTTTCTGGGGGGGGGGGTTTTAAAATATATTTATGATCACATTTACAAGTTATTAGTTAAACTAAACGTCATTTTTATTTTTATTTTTTATTTTTATTTTTATTATAATAGGAAATTCATAAAATAAAATCCACCCGTCGTTTGTTTGTAGATAATTCGTCCAACACTTCCTTTGCATCCACTGATATTGAACGATGAATGGACAGCATTGCCAATCCATTTAATCTTTTCTAAAAATTTAAAATATCATTCATATTTTTGTTTAATTAAATATACAGTTCCTATAATATAATATATTATATAAATACCTCTGACATTGTATTCTTTAGGTACGTTTTAATTCTCTTCAATGACGAAAAAGACCTTTCGGATGAAGCTGTTGAAACAGGTAGTGTTGCTAAAATTTGTAGTAATTTGTATATATTTGGATACATGTCATTGCAGATAATTAAAGCATCCATAGCATTTGTAGGTTGTTTATCTAATGCAAGTATTTTACGTTGCCAAAGTTTTAACTCAGATATCAAAATATCTTTATTGTTATCTGCCAAATCATCATTATAAAAATCTATCAAACTAATAAATTCATCTTTTTCAAGTGTTGACATTTTTGTCGTTTTTGAAAATAAGTTTTGAAATCCTTTTAATATTTTCTGATGTTCAATAAATCTTGATTCAATTTCGTTAATAAACAAGTCTAAATAGGGTATGAATATTGTTATTTTAAAATATTCTTCAGGTGTATTCACTGAATAGTTATCTCTGTTTTTTTGTTTACGTGCAATTCAAGGTAATGTTATTGAAAAACACAACTCCTGAGCTAGAGCAGATGCTTTTGTGTAGATATCATGAAAATAATCAACGTTACATCGAATTGTTTTTAATTCAGACAGTGTCGCATTAGCTAAAACCATAGCTTCTCTTAAATCAATAGCAACGCTTTGAAATTGTTTAGACAGTGGCAATCCAATGGCAAATATTTTAGATAAAACCAAAAGTGATATGATAAACTCTCCTTGTAAAATTGAATTTTTTAAATTATTTGCTTGACTTGAGATATCACCATCGGCCCAACTACTAATTGTATCTAAGGAATCAATGACACATTCTAAAAGTTCGATAAAATCATGAACTGAATGAAAACGTTCGATCCATCTTGTAGCACAGTTGCGTTTTAATGTTTTTGCATTAATTGTTCCATTAAAGTCTTCGATTGCTTGTGAAAGTATATTTTTTCGTTTGGGATATACAAAGAAATCACGTGTTTTTCCAATCGTACCCAAGCAGTTTCTAATTGGTTGTATTGTACAGGATTTAGATACTGCTAAGTTTAAGGTGTGTGCTGTACAGTGTACATAAGTTGCCATCGGATATAATTGAGAAATATGTGATCTAACACCATTAAATTGTCCAGACATAGCTGCAGCCCCATCGTACCCCTGTCCACGTAAATACTTAAGTTCTATCCCGAACGCCTTCAAATTTTCAATAATTACGGTTGCTAAGCCTCTGCCAGTTAAATCGTTTGTGGGAACAAACTGCAAAAAATCTTCTCTGACAACTAATTCATCTACATCAACATATTTAGCACATAAAGACACTTGCTCTATACCAGATACATCGGCAGTTTCATCAGCGAGGACAGTGAAACATTTTGCTTTATTTATTTTAGCTACAATTTTATTAAGTATTACCGTGTTGCAACAATCAATAATAGCCTTTTGGCTAGTAGGACTAATATATTTATTTCGTTCACCTGGACCTTCATGAAATGTTTTGAGCTTTAGATCACCACGAGCTCTATACCGCAATGGTTCCCTAAAGTTTCCTTCATTTGAAGTTTGTATTGTATCTACATTAATTTTACCAAAATCTCTATGTCCTCGTATTGCAAGCTCTTGACGACCATATAAAATAATAACTTCAATTATAGGTAAAATATTTATTCTGTTTTCATTCACTTGTTTACTACGTGCTGTATCTAATTGATTTTCCATGGATATGCTTGGATTATTCCTCGTTTTTAAAAAATTATCGGTATCTATTACACTTTTAATATGATAATTTAGTTTATCATGTTTAGTAAATGTTTCTATAGCGTGTTTCCAATTATCAAATTTATTTATAACCAAAGCACCAAGTTTCTGGCCATTTATTCCACCTTCAGATTTGGAAAGAATTTTATTATATTATTACTGTAATATTACAATCTAATGAATATTAGAATAAATAAAATAATAATGTTTTCAGAGTTTAAGCTATGCGTAATTTATTATATTAAGGTATTAAACTATTAACATTGTATAAAAATAATGCAATATTGTTTAATATGCTTACCTTAATAACAAATTGATCCATAGTTGATACGCGTACTAATGTTTCAAACTCTAACAATCAAATGAAATATTATGTCGGTCGACAGATCGTAATATTATCGACCGGCATCGGCGTGCTGAACGTCGGAGGCCGTTATCGCTGTTTTCGTCGATTTTATAATTGGTTTTCTTAAAATAGAAGTGTAAACACTCGGATAATTTCTACAACCAGGGATATTATTAATAATTATTATAAATAGTAATAATAATATACGTATGTTAATTTGTACTAGTATTATTTAGTATAACTATTATTTAAAATTATAACCAATATAAACATTTTGTTTTGATGATGGGGGGGAGGGTGGAAACCCCTTACACCCCCTCCCCCCCGTAATTACACCACTGGTCGCACGTACCAATTCTGTGATTTATTTTTTATTGATACACTGCGGTGTGCCGTCTAAGGCAATTGTCTAATCACAGGGTTGGTGTGGTCGCGTGGATGGAATCAGCCATTTCAACATAGTCACAAGTGAGTATTGGTCGACCATATTTGTTCATTTGTGTTTTAAAGGCCGACGGGTCTGGCCGTCATAGGCACGTTATTTATTTATATTGTATTATTTTATATTGCATTGGCCGACATAGGCATCTACCACATTATTGTATTATTTTATATTTTTTTATTTATATATTTATTGTTGTGCCGCTGTAGGGCCAACACTTGTATTATATTTATTATTTGGTGTGTGCCGTGTGGGCCACACATTTCATTTATTTATTTCGTTTATTTATTTCATTTATCTATTTACCATTTATTTTTATTGCATTGCCATTATTATTATAAATTTATTATTATTACTGTTTTAACATAAATTACAACTGGCTGTGATCTTTATTATTATTATATTATTATTCTTGTATCAATTAAATTTATTATATCAATTATACAGTTCACAATTATTTTATTTTTTTTGTTAATTATTAGTTATTATTAAAAATTCAAGTTGCGCCCAAGCCGCTCAAACTATTGCGAGCACTTCATGCGCTAACAGTGATAATGTACGTTTTTCGGCGGAAAATACGTATCTCGTATCTCATACTGTTGGGTTGATCCGAGATCACTTTAATTAAGACGGTAAATTCGTTTAAAGTTTTCGAAAATATAATTTAATACAATGTTTTATCTTTCTCAGTTTTCACAATCTTCAGATTTCAATATAAAAATCCATTATATCATGAAATGATTACTTTAACTTAATATGCACAGCTATTTACTTCGAAGTTTCCAAAGTGTTATGCACCATATATTGAATATTTTGATTGGGTCTTAAGTTTTTTTTTTTTTAAAAAAAAGAAAATTGAGCTCGTGTGTAAAGACTTGAAATTGAACTTTATACAATTTACATCGAGTAAGTTACGATTTGACGTCATACGAGTTACGACTACAATTTATTTTCTGTAAACTATTAAACGTCACGATTCAATTCATTATTACTATTTTTTTATTAACTGTAGTTAAAGAGAGATTGTGTTATAGACTTGTGCGCAGAAATGTTATGTATCGTTTTGTTTATTTTTTTCAATTTATGACCTACTTAATATTATCTTGAATGGTCTAAAATAATACCTTACTGTTATTTAGCCAAATCATATAATTTCTCTTTACATATCACATAATTAAATTCACTTAAGGGTACTGTGCATCGACACGTTTGAGAAAATTTGATCAATATATTATATATTGCATAATAATTATTGAAAATTAATCAACTGATTATTATGAAACAATAGATAGGATGAATATTTTTTAGAAGCATCAAAATAATTTTAATTTGAATATAATCATAAATGTATAATTGTGTTTGAAAATCGGAAGACATATTTTCGAAATACATGATGAGTTCATATTTTATATTTTTATAAATTTCTAACTTCTTCGTAGTTATTGATAATATTTTTTCGATTAAATATATTATACATTAATTAGATTCGATGTTATTGTAGGTAATATCTATTTTTTTAATTTTTTTAAACAACATTATATTTAAAAGTCATCAATTATAATGTTATTTTAATAATACGACATTCATTGTAGTATATTATATTCGTATTTGTGATTTTTAAAAATGTATATCATATGATATTTAACTTTTTAACATTTTCAATTAATATGAAGTCGGATTAATCTCAAATCATCATTATTTATTATTTTTAACTTAAACGACAATCATCATTAACATTTGTTTTTATTTGTGTCATTAATATTTTCGGTTAGTTTTTTTTTTTTATATTGAAATCTATATTTTTGCATACTATATTCTATTTTAGCCATTTTGGCTACAACTACTTTTTATGTTTGAACTTAAAATTTTTTTCTTTTGAACATCACGTTTCAAAGCAGTGAAAATGTTTTAATATTATTTTCGTGTGAGGTGTTTGATCGATCATAAACCGATTAGAGATGATACGGACTTCGAAAATTCCAGTGTTTCAGAAAACTTTTAAGTTATACTTTTACGAGTTTCGTTCGGAATAGTTATTATCTTACACTGATTCGAATAAAATGAAACGAGCGTAAGGCATAAAAATTGTTGTTCGAATGGTTTTTTCTTTATAAATGTTTCAATCGAATAACTTTCACATCGACGAACCTAACATTGATTTTTGATCACAAATTATACAACCCCTACACACTAATAGAGTTTTTAATTTTAGTTACGCGTTATCAAGTGATACACGTTATTAAATGTTACACATTTTAAACCGAATATAAATTAATTGACATAAAGTACAACAAATACAAATACAACAACAAAATTAATAAATATTTATATGTTATTTTTTTAAACGATACCTTAATTTCGTTTTCTTAATAAATACAAGAAATAGACTTAAATAAATACACGTTATACATTTATAAATGTTCATAACTGAATGGACGTAGAAAAATGAAAAAATAATTAGATAATTTTTGGCACCTAGTGTTATAAAAAATTGTCACTCCTACAGTGCGCACGATGAACGAGTAGGTAGTATATTTAAAAAGGATAACTTTTGTGGTATAAATATTTATTATGTGGATAATTTCAATGAATCCCAATCAATTTCGTCCTATTATGACACTGTTTATGCAGCTTCTCGGTGTACCAAGTCGTATAATATATGGTATAGTATATATTATATACTAAACAGTTGATAATAATCCCGATACGGAAACAATATTGTTGTTCGTTATTTGTATTTGTTCACACGTCATTCGTTACGACCGCCACGCGTACACTATTACG